TGCAGCCCTGTACTGAGTGGGAGGTGCAGCCAGGGGGTCACCATGACTTGGAAGGTCGGGACAGAAGGGGGTTTGACTCCTTTTCTCTACAGAAAGAGGGAGAAGGTTATTTGAGATCTATTGAATTTCCAAAAGCAATGGAGGTATGGGGATTGCCTTTCTCCAAGATGATATGGGAAACTGTTTTGCAGGATGATGTCTTTCTTCTGTGGATAATTTTTGCAAGATAGTGATTTTTTCCCCCAATTGGAATACATTAAATAAATTTCAATGGATCCCAATGGGGGATTGGGTTTCACAAGATGTTTTTGCAAGATAGTAATTTCCATGGCATGGTGCAAAAATAGGGCCTTTGGGATGATTGCGGGGGAGTGCTTCCCCGTGATCATCCCAAAGGCCCCGCTGATCAGCTGTGCTGGTGTGTGTGGAGAGAGAGAGAGAGAGATGAATTGGGGAAAAAATATATCTCCCTCTCGGGATCATATATATTCTTACTTAGGTCTGGATTTGAGATAGTTCAAGGCTGATTGTGTTAATCTATCCCAGCTGGAGGAAACTAGCAAGTCTTCTACTTTCTGTTGCAGATAATTATATATAGGTTTCAAGCAGAGCTGGGGAAGGCGTGCCTCTCCAGATGAATGATCACTAGCCCTAGTCAACACATAGCCAATGTGGAATAATGATGGAAGTCAACAGTCCCACATCTGAAGGGTTAATCACCCCACCCGGTTCCCAAGCATCAAATTATAGTCCTAGAATTAGGAGATCCTGGTGAGTCACTCACTGGTTTTCAATATAGTTTAACTACAGGGGTTACAAATCATAAAATGGAAGAGCCACCATTTCTGGTTATCTTCAGGGGTTCACTACATTCCTGCCTGTTCTCTTGCTTGGATACAGTTCTCTCGAGCAGTAATGAGAATCAGCACAATTAAGTGTGTTTAAGTCAATCATTTAAGCTACAAGTAGGGAACCACCATAACAAGCTGCACAAAGCAGTAGGAAAACTTGGATTTGATACATGTATTTCGAGTTTTTAATCACCCATCAATTCAAACTTGAACAAGAGCAAAAAATATCACTTGGAATGTCTGTGGACATAGAAATCCATTAAAATTACACAAAATAAAACTGCTTTAATTTACGTAGCAATGGCAAACTCATGGTTTCTGGAAGCTAGTGGATCTATGAAGTATATTTTAGTAGTTTAGTTTCTGCCTTAGTGTGTCAGTTTGTGAAGGTTCTTCATTGGGGCCCGTTTTCTTCCCGTATTACAGACAAAGCAGATGCAGGTTCTAGTTTCAAATACTCAACGTTCACTTAAATGTTCAAATAACTATTTAAATCCTTTAACAGTTTAACTTTCTTCTGCCCCTCCAATGGAGAGAGGAAGGGGTTCATGGCTTGAATTCCAGAGACCTCATTTCCCAAGTCCCGCAAACTGTCCTCTTTAAATCCTACTGGGTTTTCCTGGTAATGACAGATGCAGCAAAGGGTCAAGTCATCTCCCCCACCCTCCTCTCTCTTCACAGTCTCTGGTAGTGGACGTCACTCCCCATCATCTTGTGGGTGAATTCTCCCTCCAGGGTAATGGGTTCATGCTGCTGCCCTTCATCTTTCTCTCTCAGTTCTGTTTCTTCTCTGAACTTCCTACTCCACTCTCTGCTCTTTGTCCTTTCAGTAGGATAGTTTTCGAGGTGGACAGGAACTCTGC